GTAGAACCGAGGGCATCTGAGGCAGAAGTAAGAAAAACACCACACACTTCACAAGATATTCACTGAATCAGAGCACTCAAGCACCACTCTTCTTGTATCTTCCCTCTTATTCCTTTCTTTCTCAGACGGTTATCCCACGTGCAACCACTGTCACTATGTGTGATGTGTAGGAAACCTTGCTCTTCCCATCAAGACTATGTTCACTAATTTATGAGATAGGTCATTTGGAATTATTGTTATTGGTAAAGTTAACCTACCAATGATCCTACCCTTACCACACAAATGATATATAAAATAAGATGTTAATTAGTGAGTTTAGAGGTTCTGATAGGTGCATTTTTTTATTTTCACAACCAGGCTAGCTGTTTCCCCACTGACAACACCTCTTTTCAACCTGTCCACAGACATTTCATCAAGCTTCACAAAAGAAGAAAAAGATGCAGAACTTTTGTGCTCTATTGTGTTCTAAAGTGTCCCTATTTTGTATTTCATATATTTGTCATCAAGTCAGTAAATGAAAAAAGCATTAAAAAATGCACACCTGTCCACAATGATAACACCTATCTAGCATCCATCCACTGGTTTCACCTTGCCATTTTGTGATCAATATGTATGATCAATATGGTAGGCACTCCCAGAAATGGTTCTGGGTAACATCCAGATTTCCATCAAATCCAATTGCAGCAGTTGAACTCACCTCTGCTCCCTGTTGCTTGTCAGTGTTTTGGCACAAGATGTTCAATTTTTAATTTAAAGACATTTGTCCTGTGTAATCACGGTACCTTTGTCTTTCTTTTCTTTGCTTAAAAAAGCTTTTTCAGTGAGTCACTGTTGGCAAAGATTCACCTTTAGAAGTTATTCGCAGATGCATCACAGGTTTGATTGGAGTCGGGGGGGGGCACTTATGCAGCTGCCATGCAGATGTTGAACATTAAATCTTTGCGATCAAATCTGTAATCAGAGTTCTTATCCTCTGATTCACTGTTATTAAAGGTCTGTTTTCAATGTTGAAATACAGGCAGGTGACAAAGGGAAAAAGGAAAGGAAATGGTCTGTGGCAGGTATTAAACTGCTGAGCAGGTTCAGTTGACTCTGATTTTGTGTCGAGATGGCAAGAAGTGACTTTGAAATAAGGTTCATTGTTGGTGGATGTCAGGAGCGTCAGTCACAGATGCTCAGCTGGCTGGTGTTTCAGTAGGCGACAGCGACTAAATTGACATCTGCATTTAGATGTATGGGAAAGACATCAGTGCTTAGGGTTGGTATTTGATGACCGTGATGCTCGTGCATTAGTGCGATATGAAAGGAAAAACAGAGGAGCAGCTCTCCCTCAGGTGACTGAGACTTTCTATGCAGGATGTGATCAGACTGTGTCAGTAAGAACGGACTGTCTGTACCACAGAGACTGCGGTATTGACATGTTACATGTTACAGTAGGATTGCAGTGCAGAAACCCCTCAATACGAAGATGAATGCACATTAGAGAATTCAGTGGTGCAAAAACCAGAGGACCAAGCAGGGCTGAATGCTTGACTCCTACAGTGAGGAGATCTGGTGGCTTTGTTATGCTGTGGGGGGGTATTTCGCTGGTATGGTTTGGCTCCACTGCAAATCAATGATCACCTTTATCCTGATGAACGTTTCTATCCTGATGGGAGCGGTATCACATGAAATTCATAAGCAGATGAAATTTTCCCAGTTGTCATTAAAGTGTAGATCATCAAATGTCTTTGAGCTCTTTAAGGACCTCTTAGAAATTTAAAAAAACATGTAATGTGTGTAATCATTTTTCTTTTCCATGAAATACACAGTATGCTGTACGTAGTTTGTGTGCAAATGTTATTTAAGGCTTATCAGATTGCGGGATCTCTGAAGTACCACTGTGACATTAACTCTCTCTTGCAGTCTCGAAACACCTCTTCTATAGATTACCACATGTCCTTCATCCGCCGGCTTTGACCTTGCTTACATTGTTTATTCCCTTGTTCATCTCAAGAGAAGGACTCTGTGGTAACATTGCTGATTGAGCAGACACAGTATCAGGTGTGAATGCAAAGCAGTGTGTTCTGTTTTTACTATACTATACTCTGCTAGACTAAAAGGAATGACTTATGCTGTACAAATGTATTTTTTTTGCATTTATTATTTATGCATGTATAGTTATCTCACTTTAATCATCCCCACAATATGCACACGTCTCTCCTCCAAAAAGAGAGATGAAATGAAAGAGTCATCAGGAAATCTCTCTGATGCAGCAGGTAACATACTAAGTGAACATAATGAGTTTGATTTTTGTCCTGAGTCCAGCAGCGCCCTCCGTTTGACTGAAGTAATTGCAGCTCATTTTGTTTGTTTATGTTGTTGGCTGTGTCACTTCCCTGCTGAGTAAAATGGACCTCAGGTCCTGTTTGAATTCACATTGCCTACCGGTTAATTAGTAATACAGCTCATGCTCGGGATGGAATGCTAAAACGGCAGAAAAAAAAAAATCACTCTTGTTAGATCATCAAAATAGAGTTGGCTTTAAAAGAGGTCTGGTTTGTGAGGCTATTTAAAGAGAGAGTGGGGGAAAGATGTTTTTGGCTGCCAAATAGAACTTGTGTTTTTTAGATGTATGACCCGCAGCCGATTCTCCCTTGTGTCCAATATGGGGATACAACTGTGGTTGGCTTAGCAATCAAGATACTCTCCAGAAAACATATGGGATTAACCCAGTTTTAGTTTGAATTTCAAAGATTCCCAAAGAGGAAGGAGCCCATGAGAATGATCATGAATGTCATATTTCTTTGCTGTTTGAAGGCAATGCTTCTTTTTGGGGGAGTAATGACGGATGCTGCATACAAACTTTAATCTTTATCCAAGTTAATACTGGTGCACACAAAAACCTTGAAAAGCACTCATACAGCATACAGCGCTCTTGCACACCACACAATACACATTAAAAGGGTCAATATCCTTCGGAGCGCTTGTCGGATTGTTGAACGGTGTCTGAAACCCCTGATTTTTCTTGTAATTTTCAGAAACCAGTAATCTAACAAGCACTTCACGCAGCATGTGCGCAGAAGTGAAAAAGTAAGGCAGAAATTGAACTTTGCTCTCAAGCTCTCCTTTTTACTCTCACACTACTTTTATCCCTGCAATCGAACAAGTGCAACACCACAAACGCCTTCGAGGAAAGACTTGAAAAGTTTAGAATTCATTATGTCTCGGCGCCTCTATGGCAGCGGGCTTTTCGCCTCGCTTTCAAGTGTGGCTTTTCAGAACTGCTATAAACACTTTTGCCCTCAGATGTGGTCGGACGACATGCCTTCAGAGCTGGTTTGTTTTCGAGCATGGTCTTCTCCCTGAGTTGGTATTGTTTAATTAACACAGTCTCTTTCAGTATTTGAGAGATCTAAATGAATTGCGAGGGACACCAGTGGAAGTGTTGAAGTCTTTTATTAACAAGACGTCTGCCTGACTTTCCTTTTTATAGCTCCCTTTTTAATGGCACTCTAGCCACAGCCTGTGGTCTCAGTCATGCTGCTCCGTCTGTCTAACGTGGTTTTCATGCACCACTAAAACCAACAAACTACCGTCGGCACATGCTCAAATACCCCATTAAATACAGGAGGTCCCTTTTATGCCCTTGTTAGCTTATTATGCACTGTGGATAAACGGAGAGTCTGGGCCACTCTGAGAGCACGGGGCAACTGCCGTCACAGGCTGTTTGAAGTTGTAAGAAATGCAGTTGGGGTGGTGCAGGAGTCGTCGCTGAATTTCATCTTCAAAGAAAAGACACATCAGACTCTTAAGAGACACACGGCACTTGAAAAGGAAGACATCTCCAACTGTGAAGAAGGGTAAACAAAACATGTTAGACTGTAGTATCTCTTCTCAGTGTGCCACTGAACTCCTGTTGCACCCTGCATGACGTTACTCATGCACATGCAGACACAGATGCTTTATGTGCACATCTCGAGGGATTTGGGAACAGGCCCGGACCTTAGGCGCACAGTAAACAGAGACGCAGCATAAGCTCTGAGTTGCAGGAGTGTGCAACCTCAAACAACCCTTTCCCCTCAAACACTCCCGCTCCACTCCATCTCCACAGCTCCTCTCTGGGTTTATAACATGGGCCTGCTGGCCTTGCTGCAAAAAAAAGCCATGCTCAGTGAGACTGTGGGAGCATCAGGGACAGCCTCAGTTTTCCGTGGGAGACAAGCCGAGAGAGACACTGAGAGCGCAGAGGGAATTGTGAATACTATTCCCACATCCTGCTTGAAGCCACTGATCCGGTTTATCATATTTCATCCTATGCTATACATATATCCTGTGCTGCTTGCCTCCCAAATGAGCAGTCTTTTAAGAGCTAATTACCAAAATTAGCTTCTAACTTTGTTAATTTAACTTCACTAAGAGTAAAATGATATGTTTAAGAGAGAAAGTTGAAAGGAGGAGGAAACGGAGAAAAGCAGCAGACTGCAGTGCTAGCTTCTGACCTGCTACACAGAAATGAAAGAGGGAAAGATAGAAACAAAAATAAGAAGTGGAAAAGACAATTTCATCCTGGCACTTTTTTAAAACCCTATTCCTGTCTGGTGGTGATATCGTAAAGTCTGAGTTCCTTATAAATTGTGTGAGAGCATCTATTATTGATGCTCTGTCTGTGGCTGTGGTCCTGTTGCAGAGGCCCTTTGGGGGGACAGCTCATCTCCTCACAGGAACAAGAGTGAGCTTTTACTCTTTCTCAGCAGCACAGTGCACAATCTTTAATAGTGCTGTGCCGTGTGTTTGAGGCTTCCCTGCCTTTGTTGCAGGCTTTATTTTTTTCTGTCTGAAACATTATTGGTGTGCTTGAATTATTGAGGACATCATCGTTTTGACCCATACTGCTGACCCCTTTGTCTGCATGCCAGTTGAACAAAATCTACTGCACAAGTATCTGTGATGTTTTGTTGCATGATGTTCATATTTCATCATTCAAGTCCAACTAATCTACACTGGTGATCTTTTCACAGGAAGTAGTCCAGACCAGGCTAAACAGCGAGGGGAAGAAACCAAACCAGAGCGCCGTGGGACCACTGTACCTCTGCTGCTCAGGGGCAAGGAGCACAGACCTCTCAGCCAGCTTGCAGCTGGGGTAAATACTCAGAAGGTCACTCAGCAGCACTAGCTTAATTGCTATTAAGCTGGCTCAGACGGCAGCCTGGCTGATGCCAGTGTGCTTACAAGAGCTCAGCCAAGTACAGATGTCTGGCTTTTGGTTTGACATAACCACAGTATATGATTCCCTCCCCTGTTGCCTGCTTCCCTGCTTGCTTGATTTTCTTTAGTAGAAAGTCCCTTCCTTAGCTCTGTTTATCCTCCCTGTTGTGGTTTCTCTCCTCGCTTGCTCCCTTCGCTTTGAGTATGTGAGAATTAGAGCTGATACAGAATGTGAAATTATTCCTGAAATTCTTCAGCCTTTCAACAGTTTTTCAAGTCAGTTGTGCACATACCTGATTCTGCGTGAAGCAGCCTGACAACACTTTGAAGACTGTGTGTCATTTCTCTGCTGTACTAATAGATCTGTTAGATTAAAACATGCATAGATACAGTACATATGTACAGTCAAATCAGTCCTTTCTGGACTCTCTCTTGTCTTCTCAGACAAAAAAAAAACCAGTCTGTCCCACTGACCACAGCTGGAAAAGAAAATATTTGAAATTCGGCATCCCCCACCACAACTTAAAGAAACTTTTCCAGAGCGAGGAAATGCGTAGGTGTTGAAACCCCCCTGAGAAATCTTAACATTTTTTCCTGGTGCGGGGAAGTCACCATGCGAGGGAGTAGTTTTTTCCAGCCTCATGCTCCTTTCTCAATATGTCACGAGGGCATGAGGGAAATTAAACTTTTAGTTTTATGGAGCTAATTATGCACCCCGTTTCACCTCCATCAGATATGTTTACCCATCAGCTACTACTGACATAAGGCATTTTTGTTGAGGAGATACAGTGGTTTTACAGTATGCTATCTACAACCAGACCCTTCCCAAATTAAACTGGCTGCGAGGGCAGCTGCTGATTGTCTTATCAGAGACTGTATTGACTTATACCTCCCTGGATAACAGATTTATATAGCTGCTCCTTGTGCCAATAGAAGGTTATCAAACAGTCGTAAAGCATTGCAGAGTCATTACTTACAGTCTTTGCTGGCTGTGACTGTGACATCAACTCTCCACACGCACACTTGCTGCCACACTTACACACTGACTATCAGATGAAGCAGAAGGCCGCCTGGCGAAGAGAAAGTGTTGGCCTGAGGGCATCGGTCAGCAGACATAAGAAATGTCACTGGGAAAAGGACACAGTACGGCTGAAATATCAACCGATGATAAATTCCTCACTGTGCATGTCTGTCGGTCTGCTGGCTAGGATACGCCAATCCTTTTTAAATTTTCCATGTCTGTCTTTGTCTTTTTCTTGTGGTTATAAGAGTGGTCTGATAACATGGACCTGAGGAATTTATACACTTTGATTGTGTCCTGCCGCAAGGGCACCGCTTCACTCTGATAACTCTGTTGAAAAGTCATCTTAAAGCAATTTCTTTGGGAGTTGCCGTTTGGAGATTTGATTTTGGATTAAATCTCAAAAATGACATTTGACATTGTGAATGAAATCTCCTTCATCACCTTTATTTCCCAGGTTCTCACAGCCATAAGTCAGTGGCACCAAAATAATCACGTTGCATAATCAATTACTGAAATACAATTTTTTTCTGTCAAAGAAACTGTCTGTGACAAATACTGAACTCATGTTCTAGGTTAGGAAAATGCTGTTGGTGTTCAGTATTTTTCTTTTTTTTTTTTTTGCAGATAAGATTATCTGTTCTACCATGTATTTGTGACAAAAAGTGCAACTAGTGAATCTGTTCACGGTGCAGCCAAACAAACAGCCAAACAAACACATTATTTTAATGAAATCAGACAGCGATCAGCTTTTTAAATCATAAGAAACCGTAAACTGATTACATGCTGCACACGGTGTGAGTTGTTTTCCAAAACACCAGCAGGGCACTGTGAATTTGGTCCCCTTGTTCTGGAGTTGATCAATGAAATAATTAAAAAAAAAAAAAAAAAAATGTATTTAATAAAAATCTTCAGGATGCTGGCTTAGTTAAGTTGTGAAACTAGTCCATAGACTTTGGGAGGTGTGGGATGTGGAAGTTTTCTTCCTGTTCCTCTAACACTATTGTGCCTTGCCACATCCTGCTTAGTATACTGCCTGCCTGTGTGCCAAAGTAAGGTGAAGTAACACACAAATGCTGATTCAAAGGCAGGATGGGTGAGATCCGGGCACCGCCTCAACACCCCTGTCATCTTTTTTGTTTCAGAGTTATCCTGCGTCACTCCAGCTACTGGTACATGCTGAAGGTGAACAGCTGATCCTGCTGCTGGAGAAAAATGAGTGAGTTCCTCTTAATTCTATCTTAATTGTCTTTCCATCCTCATCGTGAGCACCATGACAGAGGAAACTAGATATTTATTATGTTAATCACACACAGAGCCAATAGATAAACCCACGCTCCCCGCTTTGGCTGGCTGGAGTTATATATGCAAGAGGAGAAGTTGTATGCGTCTGGGCTATGATATAGTGTATTCAAGGAGGCAGAAAATAATATGTCCCCTAGTGATTGGACTCTTTTATGGTTCAGTCTCTCTGAAGGGCCAAGAGATGAAAGCTGATAAAGAGTAAGGCGGAAGAGAGCTCTGAGGACATGCTTGTTCTCTCCCCTCTCATCACTCCACTCCCTTCCAGTCTGCGGAAAATAATAGTGAACTGTGAAACGAGGGGTGGGTATCATGTGGAGTTCATAAACATGTAGATACACACAGATTCTCAGGTGCAAACTGTTTCATATAGAGAGGAAAGATTGCTGAAAAGCCAGAAGAAAGCGGGCGTGAAGGCCACGTCACATGTCCAGGGGAAATTTACAATCTCACAAGAATGATGGCATCGCTGACTCAGGCCTTGTGTTTGCCAATGTTTTGTATTCAGAAGGAGTGGAGACGCAATATTTTACCTGCTGCTTTGGGATACAGATATTGACTCTGCAATTATGAACTTAGTCCACAACTGGTCAGACCTCCATCAGTGGTAACTCTGGAAGACACACAAATCAGACCGCTGAGATTTTCAGACTGTAGAACCCTAAATACTGTTTGAAAATAAGACGGCTTGCTGTCAAAATTTAGAAAAGAAACTGTATTGATTCACACTTTCTCTTTGCATCAAACATATAAAAGACAACAAGTCAGAAAAATTGCAAATCTGAAACTACTGTTAGAAAGATTTAAAGAGGCCATTTCAATAAACTGTCTGTTATGTAAGCAGATGGACAAATAACTCAATAAACACCCCTCCCTCTGTCTTATTTCCCCCTCTCCCATAACTCAAAGTACCTTGCCAACTCTCACAAATACAATTCAAATTCTTGCCAAACAAACAAAAAATTTCCTGTAATTTCACTGTCGAGAAATTACATACTCCTTGGGAAAACACTACCCCAACTGACCCCTCCGTTCCCCATCCTCTGTGTGACCTCTAGTGACCTCAGCATCAGCTGTGAGTCATCCATCACCAGCCTGAGGCCTGTTCCCTGTCCGGCCAGATGTGTCCTCTGATATCGCTTCACCAGTTCAGAGCAGGTGGTCTCTGACCTCTACGTGTGTCTGTGTCATCAAGGCTGCAACCATTCTGTCTGGAGAGGAAATAAAGATGACCGGGCATGAAAGGATGTGGAGATGCTTTAAGATTTTTCTGAATGATTTACAGTAATATAATATATCTGGCAACACTGAGTTCTGCTCCAGTATGTATATTTTCCTACATTTAATATCTGCATCTTGCATACATTTACAGTAGTTGAACCAAGCCAGTGTAGCTGAGATACTCTTGGTAGTTGAATTGCTCAGCATTAAGAGAAATGGTTCCTGTTGGAATTTAAAACTCATTTTTTATTAGAGGTGTGGTATTTTTTTTAAACCTGAAGCTGCCCTTCTGGATTCACTTACTGATGCACGTTGTCAGTGTGGAAATCTTCATTGAATATTCCTCATAGCAGCATTTTTTTTTTATTCATACCACTCCATGTTTAATGCCGCAAGGCTACTTGTAAGGAATAAGTTTGTGTTTTAATGGAGCTCAGTGGGAATGTTCAGGTTTTACTGATTCATATACATTAGCTCTGATAATGAGCTTGATTATTAGGTCAGGATATGCCTGCTATAATGTCAAGCAGTATTCAAATCCACAAAACCATTTTCTAAACATAGATTTACAGGGAACATGCATGAAAATGTGTCCACCACATCTGTAAATTTCTGTGTGTTGTAAAGCTCCAAAATAGCATGTAATGTTTGAATATTGACCTCAATTTAAGCATGGGTTCGCTTTGAATTATTCTTGCAGGTGAGGAACAGAGAAGTAAAACAGTGTGGAAGTTATTTAACTTTAATGCTACTTAAGGAGAAATGTTGTGAAAATACTGAGGTTTAGAGGTAAAAAATTTTTTGCTGAATCGAGGTGAAAAGAGAACAAACAACCATTAAGCTGGGGTTGGGAAAGTGAATAGATCTGAACTCAAGAGCTTAGTAAGTGTTGCATTTTTGTGCTGAGTTATAGCAGGTTTTCTGTGAAGGCTCATCCTTTTTTTGCTTGAATCTGCTGAGCCTGTGCAGTTCGCTCATTTGGCACTGCTGCAGGGCACACCTGTTCCGAGGCCAGTGTGAAATGATCTTGGTCGTCACCAATATAAACACGCTACCATATCCAATTAATAAACTGCTGTTTGTTAGCTGCTTGGCCCTGGCCCAGGGAAACTTGGCTGCAGCAAGACAAGTACCGATCTACTGAGGAGAGAAATCAGTGGGGGTCCACTGTTGGTGGGTGAATGTGTGAGGGTAGTGCGTACACAAAAATGTGAATGCAAGTCTAGTTTAAGTAATGTACGCATGTGTGTAAGAGAGTCAGTCTGTCTTTTTTTGTTCACCTTATAAATTTTGCATTCATTTTAAAACACTTCAGCTTGGAGTGAATTTGATTTCCCCGGGTGTTGGTGGTCACCTCTTGTGTCCTTGCCAGCCACTGGGTTCAAACTGTCCGTACAAAAATCATATAGTGCAGGCAGTGAGTGGACTGCTTCTGTAATTCACACTCATTGTGCCACTTTTAAAAGGTATCGCCAGCCGTGCCATCATCATCACGTCAGCTTTGTACCTGAGTAGCTCAGTGAGAAGACACTTAGATCGTCCTCTCTTATATGCCCTCACATATTACTGCCATTTTTCCATATTCCATTTCATTCAAAATAGGCTTCTTAATATGGTTGAAATGGAGAAAATGTTTTCCCATTACTCTGTCATGTTTTCTTTTTCCATAAGAGCAATGGGAATGGCGGTGTCATATACAATATTTGAGCTTGACGGGCTGTACGGTGCAAACAGAGCTGGACTGACACGCAGGCTTGTGCCAGCAGCAGCTGCTTTGATGTGTAGCATTGATCAATGGCACAGTTGGCCTGCTTCAAATGATTAATGGTGGTCGAATGGGACATTCCGCATTAGTCTTGATTAAAGACTTCAATAGCACTGTCTGGGGGACCAAGGTGTGTGTGTGTGTGTGTGTGTGTGTCAAAGCTGTACAGCTGGGCCCACTTACAGAAGTTTTCTACATTCAGTATAGAATTTATGGTTTATAAGGCCCAGTATTGTTTGAAGTTTTTTGATACTAATGGTAATATGATGCATCTCTCTTAATTTGATGAGATACTATAGATTTAAATGAACGACGACCACTGTGGCCACAAGCAACAAATTGGTAAATATAGTATTTACCCATCATGGTAAATACTTTCGTTTAACAAGTAGAGGGAAGTCAGAAAACTGAATCAGCCCTTTCAATTATACAAAAATGTCTACCTACAATTTGCTAACATTAGCGTACACTAGCCACCATAAGCTATAGGTTATAACCTGTATGTATCATTGTTGATTAGTTTAATTTTTCATCTGTGGGATGAAGAATGTGTGCTATTTCCTCTTTCAAAAATAATGCAGTCTTGCTTAAATGAAATATGCGTAAAGGGGCTATTTGTACGTTTTCTTTGCCGCTGAACATGGTTTCTTGCCGGATGGTGGCGATTGTGGCTTGACAACAGCTTCAGCCATTGTTGCATTTACAAGACAAGAAGTTATAATACGCCCCCTGAGCAGCGCTACTTCTTCAGGGCTAGAATGGCTAACAACAAGTGATGAGAAGCGCCGGGGCTAGCTGGTTAGTGTGCTAACTTCAGTAGATGAAAAGACGATGCAGAGTTAACTTTGGTGTTGCTTTCCACAGCTTGAGACAGCTCTTAGCGAGTAAAAGAATGAAGTTTGATGCTGAAATTGCAACGTTTCTTCTAGACTGTAAAATAAATAGCTGTTAATGCCAATGTTGGCCATGTAGTAATAGTAAAACTTACCCATAGCTCCTTGAATCACTCAAAAATAATTCTTCTTGTCTGATTAAAAATCAGGAACTATCTGATCAAATCTGACCTGACATTTGATCCAGTTTTAGGCAGTTTTTTCAGTACTTGCTGCTGTGGATACATTTTAGTTTGTACCAAAAATATGTTGAGGACTGATTTTTCTTTTGAGCCACCGTCAATTCTAGAGAGAATAGAATAACATTAATATGCTGCATACTGCGAGCCGCTGAACTGTGTGCAAGGCTTATGATCAAATAAGGACATGAACAGAATCACTTCACGATGTGCTTCTTTACACTCTAATAGTCTTATTTTGACACTTATGTACAGCTTATATAGCCGATTGTAGTTTTCTTTAAGGCATACAAGATGTATTGTCATTGTGAGTCACTTCAGTCCCATTAAGTACGCCATTTTGATTAAAATACCTTTTTTTTCAGCTTTTCTCCTTGAAACACAATGAGCTGGATGTGTGCATACTCTAACTAGCTCTCTGCACAAGACCATGTGTTTCCCAGTGAGAACATTTCCTTTCATTCTTCTGTGACAGGAAAGAAAAGAGGAAAGAGCCCCTTTGAAACACATGGCCACATCTAAACAACATCATTATGTTCTTGACAAGAGAAATCCCCATAGCAACATCCTCAGTGTGTTTTCTATGGGACAGAAGATGCATCCCATTTCAGTAACCCAGCTGACAATGCCAAGATGTTCTCAATGTGTGGAACCTTAGAGGAGGTATATTATTAACCAGTCTGTTCAATGAGGAGAGTCTCAGGCCAGACAAAGAGAGATCCCAGGTTTCCTTTGCACTTTAATTGGATCTGTCAAGAGTATGAGATAAGTTGAACTGTATGTGGCTCTGTCTTTCAGTAGCACTATTTATCTGGAAAAGAATTGGCTGGTAGCTTGTTTGGCTGTCAGCTCAGATGGC